ATACTGACGAGCATATGTCGAAATTCGAACAATAGGCCACATGTTTTCATGTGATTAGTTTAAATGTTTTGATTGACAGTCAATCAGATCACATTTTCGAATCCCGGCAACGTCGGTCACGTGATAATTTTGGACAAGCTATCTAATTCTCATTGTCTCGATACCTTTAGACACAGATGCATTGGGATAACCCGATTCCAGTGGCCCCTGGACTGAAGAGATGAAGATTAAAGTTTAAAAGAAAAAAAACCGACATCAGGACTAGCCTAATTGAATACATACGCTTACTAGCCACGTACTAACTTTATAACCAGCTGGAAAACTGCTGTGCGTCACAATGTAGCAAATATACTATCCGACAGCCGATATCAGACAGGTAGACATGAATAACTTACTCAATGTCATCACACGATTTGACGATGTCCAGATTCGAATACAATAAATAACGAACGATATAACCATTAAACCATATTGGCAGTAAAAGAGTTATCATTTTGTTTTGCCAGTTAAATTCTTTAGAAGTTGAAGCCTGAAACAACAACAGTAAGAGTTATAAATGTCCTCTTCAGATGGAGTTTATTGAATTTCTGTCAGTTTTGTCTTCAATAAATTTCAATCGTTCACAAATACAAATCTTTACATTGTATTGATGTTGCATCTTTTTAGTTTACAGTCTCAACTATAAGATATTTTTGTGTATGTAATGACATAGATCTTTTCGTTTTATCGAGTTTTTGTTTAGTATAGCTATAACCTTGTTCTAAGTCAACTGCAGATCCTCTGTCACGATCAAAAGAAAAATAACGTCAGAATTTTCCTGTACATACTTACGACTGTAACGAACAATGGAGTACTTAAACTTAGTTAGCCTTGTGTATCGTTGCAGAGTATAGAGTAATAAAATCCACAATAAGTATGGAAAAAAAGTTCACAGAACTTTTGTAATCGATATATCTCTGCAACCACTCAAGTATTTTTAACAGGTAACTAGCCATGTGTTGAAACTGTTCTTATGATGCAAAAATGAGGGTGACAGCTCAAGAAATAAGAGAGATATGCATGTGAGAATATTATGAACCTGTTTTAGGATGATTTTTTTACACTTGTTGCAAAAATCTTTGCACTAAATGTTTAATCAATTTTCGATCATTTATAACTGATTCGAGAGAATCAAAAGTACTCTACTAGAATCAGCATTTCATGCTCTTTCCAGATGTATGTTTAAATTTTTTTTCTGACTTATGGTTGGGTTTATTAAAGGGAAATCCTTGACGGAACCAAAAGCGATATTTGTACAAAATGCTCTGTTCACAGATCTTACAGGATAGAAAATAATATTATTCCAGCTCATATTTCAAGAGATATCAAACGAATTTTATACCAAATAAAAGCCCGTCAAAAACGGAATTTAGGAGTATGACTGGTCATTCATAAGAGAAGAATGAAAAAAAATTTAAACATACATCTGGAAAGAGCATGAAATGCTGATTCTAGTAGAGTACTTTTGATTCTCTCGAATCAGTTATAAATGATCGAAAATTGATTAAACATTTAGTGCAAAGATTTTTGCAACAAGTGTAAAAAAATCATCCTAAAACAGGTTCATAATATTCTCACATGCATATCTCTCTTATTTCTTGAGCTGTCACCCTCATTCTTGCACCATAAGAACAGTTTCAACCCATGGCTATTTACCTGTTAAAAATACTTGAGTAGTTGCAGAGATATATCGATTACAAAAGTTCTGTGAACTTTTTCTCCATACCTTACCTCAATTATGTCCACCGGGTTTCGAAAGAAAACAAAAGAGAACATAACTTTTAATGAGTGGTAAATGATGATAGTGGACTGACTGATAGGCTGCTCTGTTATACACTAAAATAGTTCTGCTTTTGTAAAGGACTGTCTTACCCTGGATGATGACTCTATACCAGAAAGTGTTTGCGAATGCCTAAATCATGACGGAAGAAAAAAGTTATTTTGAATACAAAACCTCGTGAATATTGATATTTGTTAAATTAAGCATAATCTATAGATATATTATGAAAAGTCTAAGTGTATAATATGATAATCTAACGTAGAACTAACGTAATCCATAGTATTGCTAGTGTCTAAACCTATACAATTGGCAACAAAATTGATCATACATCCCTCATATTAACTTATGATTGATATTTCTCCGAAACGAAATCACCTGTAAAATTCGGACTTTCGCTAAAATGTTGCAAATTTATTGTAGTTTATTTGCTTAAAATAGAAAGTGTTCTTATCATATAATCATTGTGCTAGGTCAGGAAGTTTGAAATGGACGACTTTCTCTGTTCAACAAAATTGATCATACAGTTGGATTTTTTCATTTTTTAAATAGCAAACTTTAGTCAGTAATCCCAACTCTTTTTCGAGCTTGTTGAAAAATGTTGAAGCCACACTGTAAAAAATAAAGTGGGTCACCAGTGAGTAAAATCGTCTCGGTGGATAAAACGGATCCATTTAAATAGGTCACGGCTCACTAGGTCATCTCTGTAACTCAGAGTCACGCTACCACCGGATCACTGTTCTACTAACGCCACAGTTTCTTTATTTTCCTCAGCGAGTAAAATGGATCCATTTAGATGGATCGCTCAGTAGGCCACTGACCTACTTTATTTTTTACAGTGCAATGATCGATCGGGCTAGATATTTTACCAGAGATAGACAATTGAAGAAGAAAATCGACGTGCTTTTACTCTCGAGTGTGTGATGAGTGTGGGTTTTCTGGATATCGTGATTTTCATCCAACTATATCATGGCCCCTCGAAAACATGATCCGTCCGATCTAGTCAAAATTCACTCCATCTCCGATTATAATTTTTTCCAAAATGACAAAATATCAGAAAAATAATAAAAATCTGTTGAAAATCTCAACTTTTACATATGTTTTTCAGCTTTTTTCTAGAAAAAAAATTGGGACTGAGTCAAAGTTATAAAGTTATCTGGTTCGATCGGATGGACGATTTTTTCGAAAAGCCATGACGTAGCTGGATGAAAATCACGATATCCATAAAACCCACACTCATCACACACTCGGGAGTAAAAGCACGTCGATTTTCTTCTTCGATTGTCTATCTCTGGTAAAAAAATCTAGCCCGATCGAACATCATTAGCTTCAAATTTTTCAACAAGTTCTAAAAAGAGTTGGGATTTCCTTAACGACAAATAGTATTATATGATAGAGAATAAAATACTATACTAATAATATTCGAGTTCGCAACAGACAATCGGATTCTCAGTGCTTTAAAAAAGGAGAGAGGATATCCTTAAATAATGAATGAAATATAATACATAGTCTTTTATCAGACAAAAATAAAATTATGTATAAACACGATGGTCAATCAAAATCAAGTACTTTTGAATACTTAATTTTTGAATAATCAATAATATCCCTTACCATAGATCCTGCCACTCGGAGTGGAAACCGAATCGGTTGACGATCCGATCCAGTTGAACTATTTAAATCGGCTGGTTTAATTAATGTTGGTTTTTACCGATTAAAAATTCTTTTTATAAACTGACAGGTTTTCTACTGGTTAAACTATAAAACAAAAATTTAATCTTTTTGACGAGAAAATAGAATACATTCGGCGTTGGGAAGAAAAACATCTCTGTGATGTACATCCATCTGTTCTTCCAACTTTCTCCTTTTTTTTAATTAGTTATTTTCTCGCTCAGTTTATTCTAACGAAAGAGTTCTATACCATAGTGAATGTACTTGAGTTGAGTAATGAGGACAGTACTTGTGGAATTTCCAAGTAAATTTACTTGTCAAGTACTGTCAAAGTACTTGACGAGTAAAATGGAAGTACTTGGCTGACACAATGCAAGTAAATTTACTTCAAAAGCTTCAGTCAAATACTTATTCCACTTATCTTCATTTTGTATTTTGTACGTATTCTGCAGCCATATTCTGCTTTTGTAGAGCAAATACATGCACTGCTACTAAGTTTGTTCAACTCAGTAGAAATATATAAGTTTATTTAAGTGTTTATATTGTGGTTATATATTATGGTTATTATAGTATATGTTATTGTGTTAATATTGAGGTGTTTATATACAAGCGGTCAATGCAAAAGAAAAGGGTGACTGGCTTGTCGAAGTACGTGGCTGAAGCAAGTTAAATAACGACACTTGGCAAGTTCTTGATCAAGTACTTGCCGAGTGCTTAACTTGTCACATACTTCCCAAGTACTCATCAAGTAACCAAGTACTTGTGCCAAATACATACACTAGGATATAGTTTAAAAAAATAGACTTTGATCAGTTTGTACTTGCTCACTCCTATAACATGTGCCTAACTAATAAATTTCTAGAAATGAAGTGTAGATTTCGAATGTATTCTATTCGTCTTTTGATATTAACTCGGTATTAAATAAGAAGTCATCAATTTGTTTTAGAGAGACAGATACAATTATATGACAACTTTTCATATAATTCGTGTAGCGATAATAATTCGTTGTCTTTTTGACGGAAACAACAACAAACTTTACCAACCTTAGCTAAAATTGCTAAATCCGTCTTTGTAATTCAAGTATCGTTTGCAGAATCCGAACGATATTTTTCAATAGCTGGACAAATTCTAACAGAATAAAGATCTCAATTTGTAAATATAGTTAGTTTTTCGTTGTTTCTTTTTATTGCTAGCGGCTTGTCCATGTAACGAACTGATATTTTTCCATGGTTTAGTTTTAAGGTCGTTTAGTGGCGAAAAAATTAGTGCCCTAAGTATAAGGTAAGCGATAAAACAAAAAGAACCAAAAAGTTAAAAGTACAAAAAAAATTAAAAATCCAGCTCACGGAGAACGGATCTTCGTCTCAAGCCCGAGAAACACAAACGTTAAAGTTTTTTACTAAGCGATTTTTTATCCGATCCGGTTGAAAAATTCTCAACCGATTCTGACACTAATGCATCGAAGAAGCTTGAATTGAATAATGATCCTAACACTCAATCTTATACTCACAACTTATCAATTTAAATTATATTGTTTAATTAATCTGACCATATCTACTTTAAGCTGTTCATTTTCTCCTTTACACGCGTGTAATTCTCGTTTAACATTAACAAAATCTCGAAAATTCACTTGTGTTTGTTCATTGTTTGTATGTTCAAGTTTTGTAATTTTCTCTTTCAATTCACTATTTTCAAAGAATAGATCTTGATATTTATCACATTCAATATCTATTTTTCGTTTTAACATTTCAATTTCATTTTTGTATGATAAAAACTGTTTTTCACATTTTATATGCTCATTTTTTATTAAATATAAATCACTGACACTTTGTTGCAAACGTTCGTATTCATGTTTGATCGTTACTAATTTTTTCATTTGTTTATGTTCAATATTGAATTGTTCAATTGTTTTCAACTGTCGTTCATTTTCTTCTTTCATCAACTGATAAGAATTTGTTAATTGTTCATAATTTTTTTCCATTTCTAATGTTCGTGTTTTTAAATAATCATAGGCATCTAGTTCTTTTCGTTGTTTATCAATGCCAATGTGCAATTCAATTATTTTTTCTTTATATTCATTTTCTTTCTTTTCATTGAGGTGTACTTGTTTTTCTAATTGTTGTTTTAATGTTTGATTTTCATTTTCTAACAATGTATTACGTTCATCAACACGATCTAATTCACGTCTGAATTCATCACGATTAATTGCATATTGTTTTTTCAATTGAACATTTTCTTCTTCACTATAGATGAGTCTTTTTTCTAATTCAACAACTTTATCGTTAGTACTGGTATTAATTACAACAGGTGAATCAATGACAGGATCATCAACAATTGTTGATTGAGAAGTAGGTCGTGTAGGCTAAAATAGTAAAGTCAAATAAGATCATATCAATACGAAAAACATTTCTCTTGTCGCACAGACACGATTAACTCACTCTTTGAATCACCAATTTTATTACTTTTTTCTCAATAATAAACTTGCCTGTTCTGTTGATATTTCATTTGTTTCACTTGAAATGTTGTTTTCTACTTGTGTCGAAATGTTGTTTTCTACTTGTGTCGAAATGTTGTTTTCTACTTGTGTCGAAACTGAGTTGAGCTGATCATTAAGTGTTTGAGTACTTTCGTTTTCTAGTTCTTGTTGTGACACTTGCCTTTGAAGTTGTTGTACTTGCAATTTTAACTGGCGATTTTCATCGATTACATGCTTTAAATATTTCAGTGTTTGAATATGGCGATTCTGAATAAATTTTTCGACGGTGGGCGGTTGTGTTTGTTCTAATTCATAGTCAGAATCAACGTCATTATCCCGACTTAAAAGTGTTGAACGAATATCACTGTTTGACTCAATCATTTCTTTTTTTAAAGAAGTGTGTTTTAACGTTGATCACATTTTTTTACTCTACAAAAATGTGTTTCATATTTTCATGATTTGAAAGAAAAAAAGGAAACAATCAGAAGAGAAAAGTAGTCATATTTCTTTTTACATTTTGAGATGAAGAAAGAGAAGAAAAGAATTTGATAAACAGTAATTTGGAAATGATATAGCATTTATCGAATGGTGAGAAATCGAGTTCTCTTTTTGAACGTTCTGAGACATGCAGCATGTTGTGTTGTCAGTACGTTCTTATCACTCATTGTTTATTTCTTGATAATTGCCGTAAAACTTATCCAGAACGACCATCTGTAATGGGTAATTAACGTAGCATGTTTGAAAAAATAAGGACATCTGTACAATGAACAGCTTCATCCATTTTGCTTCATGTCGATGATTGGAAGGGAATGGTTACTGTAACCTTTTTTCTCTTCAGAGAATAAATTCAGATAATTATTAAAAAAAGTCGAGTTGATGACTTTACCATATCCCTACATTTATCTGTCAACAGTTATTAACACATAGGAGTAGAGAGAGGAAATGCTTAAGCAAAAAACTCTTTACTTCTGTGAGGGAAAAGTAAAATTAGACCAGACTTCCCCCGCATTTTGCGGACAAATTCCGCATTTTGGAGTTTTTTCTGCAATTTGTCCGCTGTCCGCTATTTGTCCGCATTTTGAGAATTGTCTGCTTTTGCTGTTTTTCCCCTGTTTACATATAACATTTACAAAAAGAATGTCTATTTATTGAGGATTCTCGTTCTCATCCTATTGTCAAACCAACACCATCTCCAAACGTGCACAAATTAGTTTCGTTTATATTTTCGATTCCGTGCAGTAATTCATCCGTCGAAAGTGCATTTTCTTCCATGAAACATCTATTAACGATAAAAGAAATCGTATGTCGATAGAAATGATTGCAGCTGAGCTAAAAATTCGCTTAAACTCATCGTTATCATGCACTGAAATTTATAATTATTTCTTATCAACGCCAGATCTGCTTAACTTATTCATTCTAATCAAAAATATACAGTCAAACATATCACCGGATCGAAAAATTTCAAAAGCCTGTTCGGTCGAAACCGATTGCAGATTCGTTTTCTCCACGGTTGATTATGTGGTACGCAATAACTTTTGGATCTTTTGGACTTTAGAAAAAATTTTCCCATGGTCTTGCTCAAAAATTTTTCAAAATGTTACTGTATGGGACCAAAGGCAAAACGATGTCGAAAATTTTTTCTAAAGTACCCCGATCCAGAAGTTATCGCGTACCGCATAATCAACCATGGAGAAGACGAATCTGCAATCGGTTTTGACCGAACAAGTTTTTAAAATTTTTCGATCCGGTGATATCTAAAGAAAAGCTCTAACATTGATATTTATGTAAACTTGCTCTCTATCATAATTTCTACATGTCTAATAAACTTATCTCACAAAAGCATGAATGTATTCCCACGTCACTGGACGATACCTCTCAAATATCAAGCTCGATACAGAACTAAGATAAAGAGTTCAATTAATGATGCGGTACATTCTTGTACAATGTGGTCATGGAATCATCTAAGAAACGTCTCGTTAGTATTGAGAAGCGTATCGAAATCATATGGTTTACGATACGAATAAACCTAAACGTCATTCATGGAAACTCAATGTACGCTTAATTCGAATACCTGAGAATAATGAATCAACAACAGCAGTAGTTCAACGAGCCGTTTAAATTACATCGCAGCCTACATCGAAATGTCACACAGATTGGGTACTAAGAAACAAAAACAAAGATCGTATCACTACCGCTCATTTGCCTGGCCGAGTCAAATATAGAAATTTTTGATTAGAAACAAGTAAAACTAGAGAGCCAACTGCTTTATGGGAAGACTGGAAAGTCGACTGAGTTAAATGGTTTATCAAAAAGCTAAAATTACGAAAGTTTGACTAAAATCTACTGCAGAAAAGCTGTTTTTCTTGCAATTGTAGATAGAATACATGTTGTAGATAGAATAGGATGTTTCCGCGGTTATTCCTTCTTCTTTGTTCTTTAATAAATTACTTCCATCAGAAATCTTTTTGTCCATCTAGGAAATAGATTTCATTAATGCATTCATTTGAAGCTCATTCTCATTCTTTTGCATAACTTTTGAGTGGAAAGGGTGAATACCTGCAGTTCTTCGCATCCGAAAGAGACGAAGATCTGACGATACTACCTCAGAAGGGTCTTCATACATAGAAACTATCAATGTTATAAGAGAACATGGCATACGATCTTTTACGTGATTTCAATTTTTTTTCTCTCTCGCACATACCATTACAATGTTTTTGATATCAATAACGAATGTACACACCGGACATTTCTTCTTTGTCTCAGAAAAATGCTAACTCTAAAAGATCGCCTACTTCAAATGTCTTCTCGTTTTTTCTCCATAATACGTGGAAGAATATTTAGACTTGATTTGACTACACGAATTTGTAGAAAATGTGTCCACTTTCCAAAGTTGAAAATCGCAGGTGTTTATCTCTTTCGATTCAAAAATTATTCACATAATGAGCAAGATGATTGTGTTTGGAGATGGATTGCAGTATATTTTTAATTTTGTTTTTCCTTTTATATAAGCGAGCAATATTCTGTCTGTCACATAAGAAAAAATACTAAACACTAAAGATCTAGTGTTTTAGCTGTGATCTAATGATTCAGCCTGGAAGGCTAATATAAGGAAACGTTTCAAAATATATTCCGGTCGATCGCTGTTGATATAAGCTTTATTCTGTCAGAATACATGCGGAATACATTATTATATTAATTTAAAGTACACAAGTTGTACACGATACTCATTTGTTTTTTAGGAAAGGATCTCTTTTAGTTTTTGAGATACAGGACCAAACTGATACTTGCTACATCCTTAAAGGCGCCAACGGCAAAGCGATCTTACCCC